TAGTATATGCCGGATCTGCAGGAGGCAGAAGTACTACCCAACCTACGAGAGCAGTAGTACTATGCCGGATCTACAGGAGGCAAACACCCCCGACCTACGGGAGGCAGTAGTACTACCTCAGACCTACAGGGAGGCAGTAGTACTACACAGACCTAAGGGAGGCAGTACTACTACCCCAGACATGCAGGAGGCAGTAGTACTACCCCAGACTTACCGGAGCAGTAGTACGACCCGAGACGTGCAGGAGGCAGTAGTACTACCCCCAGACCTACGGGAGGCAGTAGTACTACCCCAGACTTACTGGAGGCAGTACTACCCCAGACTGCAGGAGGCAATAAGTACTACCCAGACCTATGGGAGGCAGTAGTACTACCCCAGGCTACAGAGGCAGTGAGGAGCGTGTTTCCAGATCTATGGAGGCAGTAACTTCCCAGGCCTCAGGGAGGCAGTACTACCCCAGACCTACGGGCGGCAGTCGTGCTACCCAAACGTGCGGGAGGCAGTAGTCCCCCAGACCCAGGAGGCAGTAGTAGTACCACAGACGTACTGGAGGCAGTAGTACTACCCCAGACCTGCAGGAGGCAGTAGTACTACCATAGACCTAAGGGAGGCAGTAGTACTACCCCAGACCTCGGAGGCAGTAGTACTACCCCAGATCTACGGCAGACAGTAGTATTACCCGAGACCTACTGGAGGCAGTAGCACTATCCCAGACCTGCAGGAGGCAGTAGTACTACCCCAGACCTACGGGCGGCGTCGTACTACCCAAACGTACTGGGAGGCAGGAGTACTACCCCACAACTACGGGAGGCAGTGTAGTACCACAGACCTATTGTAGGCAGTGGTACTACCCCAGACCTGCGGAGGCAGTAGTACTACCATAGACCTACGGGAGGCAGTAGGTACTCCCCAGACCTGGGAGGCAGTAGTACTACCCCAGACGTACGGGAGGCAGTAGTACCCCAGACCTACGGGAGGCAGTAGTATCCCAGACGTACGGAGGCAGTAGTACTACCCCAGACCTACGGGAGGCAGGGGAGTACTACCCAGACCTACGGGAGGCAGTAGTACCCAAACGTGCGGGAGGCAGGAATTCCCCAAACCTACTGGGAGGCAGTAGTACTACCCTTGACCTACGGAGGGAGGAGAACTACCCCAGACTGGGAGGCAGTAGTACTTTATGACCTATGGGAGTCAGGAGTACTACCCTTACCTGTTTGAGGAAGGAGTACTACCCCATACCTACGGGAGGCAGTAGTACTACTTGACCTAAGGAGGGAGGAGTGCTATACTAGACCTACGGGAGGCAGTAGTACTACCCTTGACCTACGGGAGGCATGAGTACTTCCTTGACCTAGGGAAGGGAGGAGTACACCCCCAGACCTACGGGAGGCAGTAGTACTCTACTTGACCCTGGGAGGCAGGAGTACTACCCCTTACCTGCTTGAGGCAGGAGTACTACCCCTTACCTGCTTGAGGCAGGAGTACTACCCCTGACCTCGGGAGGCAGTAGTTCCCCCCTGACCTTCGGGAGGAAGAGTACTACCCCTGACCTGCGGGGGTTGGGGGGTTTGGGGGCAGAAGTACTACCCCTGACCTAAGGGAGGGAGGAGACTACCCCAAACCTACGGGAGGCAGCAGTACTACCACAGACCTTCGGGAGGCAGGAATACTATCCCAGACCCACGGGGGAAGTAGTACTACCCTTGACCTAGGGAGGGAGGAGTACTACCCCAGACCTACGGGAGGCAGCAGTACTACCCCATACCTACGGGAGGCAGTAGTACTACCCATGACCCACGGGGAGGGAGGAGTACTACCCCAGACCTACAGGAGGAAGTGGTACTACCACAGACCTACGGGAGGCAGTAGTACTACCCCAGACGCATGGGAGGCAGTAGTACTACCCCAGACCTACGGCAGGCAGTAGTACCACCCCAGACCTACGGGAGGCAGTAGTACTACCAAACGTACGGGAGGCAGGAGTACACCCCAGACCTACGGGAGGCAGTAGTACTACCCCAGACCTACGGGAGGCAGGAGTTCTACTTCAGACCTACGGGAGGCAGTAGTACTACCCCAGACCTACGGGAGGCAGTAGTACTACGCCTGACCGACGGGAGGCAGTAGCTCAGAACTACGGGAGGCAGGAGTACTACCCCAGACCTACAGGAGGAAGTACTACTACCCCTGACCTACGGGAGGCAGGAGTACTACCCCAGACCTACGGGAGGCAGTTAGTACCCCTTGACCTACGGGAGGCAGGAGTGCTACCTGAGACTCTACGGGCGGCAGTAATTCTACCCCAGACCTACGGGAGGCAGGAATACTACCCCAGACCTACGAGAGGCAATAGTACTACCCCAGACCTACTGGAGGCAGTAGTACTACCCCAGACCTTTGGGAGGCAGGAGTACTACCCAGACCTACGGTAGGCAGTAGTACTATCCCAGATCTACGGGAGGCAGGAGACTACCCCAGACCTACGTAGGCAGTAGTACTATCCCAGATCTACGGAGGCAGGAGTACTACCCCAGACCTACGGGAGGCAGGAGTACTACCCAAACGTATGGAGGCAGGAGTACTACCCCAGACCTACGGGAGGCAGGAGTACTACCCTGAAGTACTGGAGGCAGGAGTACTACCCCAGACCTACGGGAGGCAGTAGTACTACCCTTGACGTACGGGAGGCAGGATTACTACCTTACCTGGTTGAGGAAGGAGTACTACCCCATACACATGGGAGTAGTACTACTCCTGACCTACGGAGGGAGGAGGCTACGCCAGACCGACGGGAGGCAGTACTACTAGCCTTGACCTACGGGAGGTAGTATTTTACCCTTGACCTCAGGAAGGAGGAGTACTACCCCTGACTTACAGGAGGGAGTAGTACTACCCCAGACCTACGGGAGGAAGTAGTACTACCCCTGACCTACGGGAGGCAGGAGTACTATCCCTTTCCAGCTTGAGGCAGGAGTACTACCCTATACCTACGGGAGGCAGTATCACCCCTGACCTACGGGAGGGAGGAGTACCACCCAGACCTACGGGAGGCAGTAGTACTACCCCAGACCTTCGGGAGGCAGGTAGCTACCCCAGACCCCATACCTAGCTGGGAGGCAGAAGTATTACCCTGGACCTACAGTAGGGAGGAGTGCCCCAGACCTACAGGAGGCAGGAGTACACCCCAGACCTACAGGAGGCAGAGTACTACCTCACCTACGGGAGGCAGACATTACCCGAGACCTACTGGAGGCAGGAGTGGCACCACCCCAGACCCACGGCGGCAGTGATTACTATCCCAGACCTGGAGGCAGGAGACTATCCCAGGCCGGGAGGCAGAAGTACTATCCCAGACCTACGGGAGGCAGTAGTACTACCCCAGACCTACGGGAGGCAGGAGTTCTACTTCAGACCCGGCAGTAGTACCACCAGACCTACTGGAGGCAGTAGTACTACGCCTGACCTACGGGAGGCAGTAGCTCAGAACTACGGAGTGGCGAATACTACCCAGACCCACGGAGGCAGTAGTACTACCTTGACCTCATGGAGGCAGGAGTGCACCCCAGACCTATGGGCAGCAGTATTTCTACCCCAGACCTACTGGAGGCAGTAGTACTACTCCTGACCTACGGGAGGCGTGTACATACCCTGACCTACGGGAGGGAGGAGGAGTGCTCCGCCAGACCGACGGGAGGCAGTAGTACTAGCCTTGACCTACGGAGGCAGTATACTACCCTTGACCTACAGGGAGGGAGGAGGCTACGTCAGACCGACGGGAGGCAGTAGTACTAGCCTTGACCTACGGGGAGGCAGTAGTACTACCCTTGACCTACGGGAGGCAGTATTACTACCCTTGACCTACGGGAAGGAGGAGTACTACCCCAGACCTACGGGAGGAAGTAGTACTACCCCTGACCTACGGGAGGCAGTATTACTACCCCAGAACTCGGGAGGCAGGAGTACTACCCCATACCTACGGGAGGCAGTAGTACTACCCCTGACCTACGGGAGGGAGGAGTACTACCCCATACCTACGGGAGGGGTACTACCCCTGACCTACGGGAGGGAGGAGTGCTACCCCAGACCTACGGGAGGCAGTAGTACTACCCCAGAACTTCGGGAGGCAGTAGTACTACCCCTGACCTACGGGAGGGAGGAGTGCTACCATCTGACCTACGGGAGGCAGGCACTACCCCAGACCTACAGGAGGCAGTAGTAGTACCCCTGACGTACGGGAGGCAGGAGTACTACCCCAGAACTACGGGAGGAAGTAGTACTACCCTTGACCTACAGGAGGCAGGAGTGCACCAGACCTACGGGCGGCAGACATTACCCCAGACCTTCGGGAGGCAGTAGTACTACCAATGACCTACGGGAGGTAGGAGTGCTACCCTAGACCTACTTGAGGCAGTAGTACTACCCTTGACCTACGGGAGGGAGGAGGCTACCCTAGACCTACGGTAGGCAGTAGTACTCCCCTTAACCTATGGGATGAAGGAGTACTACCCCTTACCTGCTTGAGGCAGTAGTACTACCCCTGACCTACGGGAGGGAGGAGTGCTACCCCAGACCTACGGGAGGCAGTTGTACTACCCTTGACGTACGGGAGGCAGTGGTACTGCCCTTGACCTACGGGAGGCAGGAGGCACCCCAGACCTTCGGGAGGCAGGAGAACTACCCCAGACCTACGGGAGGCAGTAGTACTACCCTTGACCTACGGGAGGCAGGAGTGCTACCCCTGACCTGGGGGAGGCAGGAGTACTACCCGAGACCTACGGGAGGCAGGAGTACTACCCCAGACCTACGGTAGGCAGGAGTACTACCCGAGACCTACGGGAGGCAGGAGTTTTACCCCTGACTTACAGCTTTTTTTTTTACATGTGCCTTAGTGTATGTACGGTACATAATGTAGAGATGGAAGTATTTTTTCAGTAGATTACCCAATGTGATAAACATAAAAATTAAGTTTATCATATGCACTACTTATAAAGACGTACCTTTATCACCCCGTGGACCAGGAAGACCTTCTCTACCGGGAACTCCAATTTCACCCTTCATTCCCATCTCACCCGGTTGTCCAATTGGTCCCATTGTGCCAGGTGCACCAGGCAGTCCAGGCACAGCTACTCCATTGACATCACCACCAGATCCGCCAGGTGCTCCAGGTGGTCCCTGAAACAGACAACAATGTGTAAGACTTTATATACATCTACAGATAAGATAAAAGTCACATAGGTAATGTAACACACACCTAATATATAATGGTTGCCTCTCGTGTACGAGGATGGCCAGCCCTAGGGCTACCCAGCCGTGAATTTGTTTAAGGTGCAGAAGCTATCGCCAACACAACAACCACACCCCGAGTTAACGAGCTGCTTGACTCAGTGTCAAGGAATAGTCGGAACAGACCAGAAAAGGTCCCCTTTCATTTGAAACTTATTTAAATTCACCTCTACCTAAACGCGATATTGTAGTTGATGTAGTATAAATAATTGTAGTTTAGACGGTAGTTTAGCTGATTTAGTGTTGATTTTGTATAGTTGATATAGTGGAGATAGTAGTATAATTGATGTAGTGTAGGTAACAATGTAGTGGATGGATGTAGTGTAGATTGAGGAACGTGTATAATGAACACAATGTGGTAAATGTAATGCAGATAGTGTGGTTGATGTAATGTAGATAGAGTAATGGTAGCAATATAGGAGATAGTTCATTCACGGGTATAGGTTATGAGCTGCCTCTGAAAAACTACTGTGGGTATAGTACCATATACTGACTCACTGCTGGTTTGTAACCCTATCATTAGAGAGAGGATAGCTATAATGTTCCGAATTTCTCATAGGTCATATTCGAGTCTTGCAACAAGCCACAACAAAACGGAGATGGAATAACTATAAAATGATATAATTAAATCAGGATTTACGCATAGCAGTAATTTTCTTGAGTAACAAAGTGATTCACACACATCTAGGAAGCTTAATATACGTTCGGCTTTCGTACACTAAATATGATATAAAAACATAACTTTTCCTCCGTGATATCATTTACTCTCACACTGAGGAAAACATAAGCATAGTATAGTGTCGTGTACTTACAGCAACCCCCGGCTCACCCCGAGGTCCTACGGGTCCTCCTTGGCCACGTTCTCCCTTTAGTCCTGGAATACCTCGTCGCCCATTCAACCCTCGGTCGCCTCGTCTTCCTGCAAAAAATTAAATTGCAGACTGTAATTTTAACCTAAGTTTTATCATGTGCATTTTACACCATCATGGTAGTATTAAGAATAGGAGGAAGATTACTGTGTGAATAATATTACATACACAAACTCAACACTTTACCTGATTCTCCCTTGGGTCCTATTCCACCAGGAAGTCCATCTAGACCAGGGGGGCCTCCAAGTCCTGGAATACCTGGGGGACCTTGCTCGCCAGCAGGTCCGGTCACCAAGACTGCGTCACCTGGCACACCTCTAGGGCCAGCCTCACCAGGAGGACCAACAGGACCAGGTATACCTGGAAGACCCCTGTCACCACTGTTTCCTTTAGGACCAAGAGGACCCTGTGGAAATAAGAACAATGTGGCATTCACTCTCATGTTATCAAAGCGTTTAATACATGACCGAAACATCCTGCACTTAGTGTACTGTCGCCTTTCAACTATAGAAAGGTTTGTGCAATCTAAAACTCTTTTAATTTTGGTTATTCTTGAATTGTAATTCATTCATATACTTTCTTGATATCTAGTGCACACTGAACAGAATACAACATAACCTTGTTTCTTATCCAGAAATAATGATTGATATACTAGAAATTATCGTAGCACAAGTCAGGAATTGTGATGATTTATACCATCTGATATAAATGTTGACAAGACTTACAAAAGAAAAAATCATGCAGCTGAACCACATACTGTATTTGAATTGTCCAAGTGAGATGTAATTTTTTTACAACCGGTTCTGATTAAGGTGAAAATTCAGGTGGTGGTGTAAATCGGCGAATGTCAAAGGTGTGATCCATTACGCTAGGCCGCTAGGGGGTCTGGGGCTAGCGGTAGTTCCACCAGCGGGGCTGGGAAGTCCCGGAAGCCAACGTATTTTAGCCTTTCCGAAAAGCATTTTGTGACATTGTTTTTTTCACATATCCTTTATATTCACTGATGACGTAATTACATTATCAGGGAATAAATTATTTGTCATTAAAACACAACTTAGATATTACAGCGACTCCTACATGTGATACGACCGTCATTTTGATTACAGTTTATTAGGGTAGAGTACTGTATTTTCTTAAAGAGGTGTTTACTGTGTTTTAGATGCTAGAAATGGTAAATTGCACAAAATAATACTGACCGCCTCAAGAGATCAGTACGAGTTCACTACACGCCAACGACGTGAATGGTTGACCTTGAGCTCAACACTAGTGACATGCAGCGCAGTTTGACAAATCAAATAAGTCGTTAGATTTTAATTATTAAAGATACAGTATGTACAATACGTTCATTTACTGGAATTTGGATGATAGTACAGTAAATAGGGTATTAACAATGTTGATTAATGTAAAAAAGAAAACGCGAAAATAGGTAGTTATATCAAACAACGATATCGATTAATCTACAACATTGTAATTTAACGGCTATCTGAGCTGTTCCCATTTGCCATATTGAATAGAGATAATTTAAATACACCTTCGCTTTCAACATTTCAGTGTTTCAATTCTTCAACACGACACAAATTAGGCAAGCTTTTTATTTAACATGCCATGTCATGTTCACAGTGGCACGGCTGGTCTGTTTGAAACCTGACGATTCATATTATGCTCCACGCCCTCAAAACATGTGGATAAATGGTGAGTTATCCCGTTAAAAAGGCGTTTTCTCTAGCTTAGGTCCGTCCATTTTCACTAACTTCCTGAAATCAACCTCTATATACAGTAAATTTGAATGTGTGTGAGAACACCATTGTTTTGGGTCAACTTAGATATGTCTGATTACAGATGGAGCATTCAAGATCCTTTGTGTCTGACGTTGAAAGCTTCAATTGTATTTATTGTTTATGAAATTGTCAATATAAGTCAGGGTAGAGTCTACTGTGAGAATGAAGTATCATTGACATCGTCCCTGGAGACGCTATGAGTTGCTAACTGATGCTGAAGTTACCTATTTTTCACCTATGAACATCAGAGAACCCGATGTTCATAATGAAAATGTTGAAAGATGTTAACTACGGAAGTAATTAATTATTCTGAAGGGAAGTGTCAGCCTCCCTATCTTTACCATCTAACGGGAAGTAATTCGAGATCCTTTGTCCTGCGCCCTGCCCACCAGGGACTGCCATCCTGAACCTTGAAATCAATTTAATTCTTGTCTTCGACAGCTCAGTCAGAGCGTAATTTGAAAAGGGGATCTTGGGAAATTAAAATGAGTTCATAATCTCATTTTCACATGTCAAAGAGTATAGTATCGTAGTTGTTGTTGTTGTTATTTGGGGCGTGTGGAACTCGGAGCTATGCAAGGGAGGAGAGAGCGGGACACTGGCGCTCTTGGGCCGTAGTATAGCATGTGAAGCCCCTCTACCCACAGGTAATCTTTTACTTTTATCCTCTTCACCACTGATCGGCTCGTTAGCCGCTTGGGCGATCGGTCACGTCTCTAATTACTTTTCCTTTTCTTTTATCCTCTTCACCAAAAGATCGGCTCGTTAGCCGCTTGGGCGATCGGTCACGTCTCTGTTACGCACTGTTGGCAAGTACTGGCCATGCACCGGCTCCTGAATGTACCTGAACCCGCTCCAGTGTTGGTCAAGTCTTGTCTTGAAAGAGCTCACACTCGGTGCCGTCACAACACTTTCTGGTAGATTGTTCCAAGAGTTTACAACCCTCACTCCGAAAAAGTTTGCCCTCACAGTTTTCTGGACTTGCGGCTTCTTCAATCTTGAGCTGTGACCCCTTGTGGGGCGAGCGTCCGCCAGCTCCAAGTAAGGACACTCGACTGAGTAGTGCCCCTTAAGATGCTTATACACCTCAATTAGGTCACTCCTCGCCCGTCTGTAGTATAAGCTAGGCAAGTTCAGGCGCTCCAATCTCTCAGGGTAGCTTAGGTGCCAAAGTGCAGGCACCAGTCTGGTGGCCCTCCTATGAACATTTTTAACCAACTGACAGTCCCTAGCATATTTAGGGGACCAGACGAGGTGACAGTACTCCAGATGGGGAAGCACTTCACTCTTGAAGATCGTTATTAGGGACGGACCATCTAGATATCTGAACGACCTTCTTATAAGACCCAATAATTTATTTGCCTGATTTACCTTCTTCTCGCAATGGCCCGAGAACTTCAGCTCATTGTCAACATACACACCTAGGTCCTTCTCACATTCAGTTTCAAATAGCGCAGTTTCTTCATCCCGTTGGGACATATGATACGCCTCCTTACCGTTGGTACGCCCCAGGTACATCATCTGACACTTCGTGACATTGAATCTCAGCAGCCATTTCTTCGACCATTCTTGGAGCCCACAGAGGTCCTTCTGCAGCTCTTCACAGTCCGCTTGGTTCTTGATTTCTCGAAATAACTTGGCGTTATCGGCAAGCATTTGTATGGAAGAGTAAACAACGTCAGGCATATCATTTATGAAAAAAAAACAACAACAGCGGGCCCAATACGCTGCCCTGTGGTACTCCACTTGTGACAGGTACGGATGATGATTTCGTGCCATTAATCACCACACACTGCTTGCGGTCATCTAGAAAGTCTTCTATCCACGCTAGGACATTTCCCCGAATTCCGTATCCTTCCAGTTTGATTTTCAGCCTTTCGTGGGGTACACTGTCGAAAGCCTTGGCAAAATCTAGGTACATATTGTCGATATTTCCACCCCGTTCCAGAATATGGGTCCAAATATCCAATACCTTGAGCAATTGTGTTAAGCAGGAGCGCCCCGGCATAAAACCGTGTTGGCAATCCTTTACAAGGTTGTTTCGCAGTAGATGTTCCATTGCGGCATCTCTGATAATACTCTCAAGTACTTTACATATTATGCTGGTCAGGCTCACCGGTCTGTAGTTGTTCGTGGAGTGACGATCGCCCTTCTTGAAGATAGGACTCACATATACCACTTTCCATTCACTGGGGATCTTTTGTTCATCCAGGCATTTACAAAACAGGATCTTCAGGGGTTCGGCAAGCTCGTTGCACAACTCTCTCAGGACTCTAGGATGCATCATGACAGGGCCGGGACTCTTATGGACCTTTACCCTGGACAGTTTATTTCTAATACCCTCTTCTGTGAACACAATGTGGGTCAGTGCTGTGTCGAACCGTCTGTCCTCAAACGCAGGAAGGTTAATTGCATCCTCTCTTGTGAACACCGAGGAAAAGAAGCTGTTCAATGCCTCAGCTTTATCCTGGTCAGAATCTGCCCAACTACCATCTTCAAGCCTCAGGTATGATACTCCAACTCGTGTTTTTAATTTCGACTTTGCATAGCGGTAAAACACCTTTGGGTTTGACTTGACCTCGCTTGCAACCAGCCTCTGGAAGAACTCCTTTTCAGCCCTTCTACACTCTATCTTTGCTTGGTTTCTGGCTCTTGCATACATCCTCCTGTCCTGCTCATCGTTTGACCTAACCCACGTCTTGAATTTCTGGGTTTTCTTCTTAACTCTGTCGACCGCCGCGTGGTTCATGTGTAAGGATCCTCTCGTATTCCTAGAGGCACTTGGTTTGGTCTTGGGTATATATTCATCGATCAAATAGGTCACTTTACTAGTTATGATATTCAGCGTAGTGTCTGCGTTCTTGTGCCTTCAGGCCAGTTGATACCTCTCATCTCTTCCCTCATCCCGTTGCAATTTCCCTTGTAATATTTGCACCTTGGCCTGGCCTTATCCTGAACTAGGTAACAGTTAAATCTGAATGACAACACTATATGGTGGCTGGTGCCAACTGGGGCAAGGTGTTCCAGTTTGGCCACCATACCCTCCTCGTTTGCTATGTTATGATGAGGTCAAGTGGCTTGGGTGTTTGCTCCCCTCTGTAATGTGTCGGGTCTCTAACATGTTGGAACAGAAAATTATCTCTCAGAGTTTCTACAAAAAGAGTAGCAGGGTTATTCAAGTCATTTGGGGTGAACTCGTTTCTCCAGTCGATGTCGTCATAGTTAAAGTCCCCCATGATAAGGAGGTGGCTATGGTTGAGCATCGCCGTATTGTCTATTAAGGCTCTTAAGTTCCTTTGATTTAGTGGGCCACAGTTTGGGGATCTGTAGATACACCCGACGATAAGTAAGTCCCCTCTCTTTAATTTAATTTTACACCACTTGGACTCTTCAAAAACATCCTCTACCTGTACCCTCGCCTGGCTGGCTCTAAGGTCTTGCCTAGCATTGATAACCATACCCATCTTGCAAGTTTCTTGAGAAAGGTTCGTAAAAGAGTCATATCCAGCAATACTGAACTCACATTCCTCTGGGTCAATTCTCCTGTTCTTGCACAACAGTTCTACAACTCCTACAATATCTGGTTGGTGTACTTTCACTAGTGTTTCAAACTCCTCTCTCTTATCAA